TGATGGCCACCGCAGTGTCGGCCGTCGCCGACCCGTTGGACAAAAAGCCACCACCTCCTGCCTCGTTTCAGTCGCAGTCGACGATCAACAAACTGTTGAATCAGCTGATCGGTGGGGGCGGCGACCCCCCTCATACCGAAACCAACGGCACAAACGCAACGCCTAAGTCAGAGTCGGCGCAGTCCACGGTTCTGGGCGGAATTCTGCCGAGCGACGTCGTCCCGTTGTTGATGAGCATTTCGACCCTGCTACCAGCGGGGACGGATTCCATCAACGACATGCCCACCATTACCGACTTCGTCGATCGCTACAGCGAGGGAAGTCGCTGGGTCCAGTACGCGTCCACTACCGCAGCCTGGAATTACCTGACGAACATCACCCAGCACAACCAGGACGTCATCGTAAGTGCCTTAAGGTGCTGTCCTCGTCGCTGGGGACTGTTCACTTTTACGGAGTCTCGGCCGGCCGTCAGTTATCTGCGACCGACGATTTTGTCCACTGAATAACCTTTCCGAGGTCCGCTTGAGGTACTGCCCTCGGTTGGAGGAAGCGTTTTCTTAGACAGGATATGCCGTCAGTTCGTTTCGGCGATTTCATCCACCGTTCAAACAGTTTTTCGTTAACTACAGACTACTGTGGTGAACAGTAAGACGCGGTGGTGGCTTTCGTCCCTGCACGCCAGCTTACCGGATTCGATTTCTGTGGTAATAGTGAGTGCTTTCGAATTAAAGAATTCAAGGGAATGGTGTTCTATAAACAATAAGCTGGTGCGTGACCTCTTAAGGAATCCCAAAAAGCGCATTTTCTCCAATAGGCTGATAAGCAATCAGCAATTTGCCTTTGGTCCTTTCGAGGCAATTCGATTTTGCCAAATTAAAACATTCGTGGGATTATGGATTCTCCAACGTCCTATTATTTTTTTGCCTTGGCACTAAGAATTTAGTGGGACTGATGTCACGTTCATCTTCATCTTCTTCATCTTCTATCGCCGCTTCTCCTTTCGGGTCGCAGAGGCAGACGAGTCAGACAGAGCTTCCGACGTTCCGATCATGTCACGTTTAACCATAAAAAAATCAGTTGTGCAACCACCGTTCAGAGGGTAGATAGCGAATGACCTTTTCGACATACTTTCTTCAAGATTCATATCGATTTTGGTTGCAGATCCTTATTTTTTTCCTTCTCCCACATTTTTATTCATCATGCATGGAATTGTTGATGGGGTCGGAAAGTTTTCATTCCTAATGGCTGCTGTGGAATACTCGGCTATATTTTATTTAATTTCTGTTCATTTGCCAATGGATAATCACAGTTTTCTTAGGGCTTGAACCTTTTCTTGTTCGATTAACTAAGTGACGCAGTCTGGGGTTATGCGCATCACAGATGTTTAAACATCATGGAGACGTGCCTTGTTTAAATGGTCCTTTTTGGCGACCGAAACCACGGACTTGGCGTCATAACTTCCATCGGCTTTGCACTATCGCAGTGTCTCTGTAAAGCATTAACTTTAGCTTTTTTTAAGTATCTCTTCGTTAGTTATGTTTCTCATCTTCCTTTTGTTTACCTTCTTCTCCTTTATCTTCCTCTTACTCTTTTTTAACGTTCTTTTTTTTCAATTTAATTTTCGCGTTCTTTTTTCCTCTGTCTGCTAATTGCTAGGCA